CTGGCAATGCGTTGAAAAGTTACGTTCATGTATTGTATATGGATTTCTGATAGTGAGCTGTTGATATTGACACTTGATGAACGTGATTTTTACGATGTGTGTTGTAATTATAAATATCAGTATAGCATGAAAATATGTTCCTGCCGTTAAGTAAGTTACTAATATATATATATATATATATATATATATATATATATATATATATATATATATGCCAGGCAGTGGTAAGATTCCCAGCTCAGTGAAGAGAGGCAGGCTTGCAAGGGTAACGCGGATTGCATTTTTTCATTATTCGAATAATTTTCTTTCGCAATCTAAAGGTCTGGGTACTACACGACGAGCTTCCCCAGAATTTTATACCATATCTCAGGCGGGAATGTACGTTTGCAAAAATACACGCAACGAGCTGCATGAAAACTGGGAGAATTTGATAGAATTCTGAATGCGTATCATAATGAACTTAATTTAGTTTTTAATTTTGTTATATGTACATTCCATTTGAGGTTTGATTGGAATGAGAGACCTAGAAATTTTGTTACCTGAACATCAGCTTATTGTTCATTTTCATTGGAGCATGCGATTGCTGATTTGAAATGCAAAAATGCATTGAAACTGGTTTCCCTTTATTAACTATTAATTTGTTATTACAAAACCAATTTGAACTTCAAAAATCGTGCTATTTATTGATTCTTTTTTGCAAAAAACATTCGTGTCGGCGGCAAACAACCTTCTTCCGTTTTTAATAGCCGACGGCTTATTGTTTACGTATAACGGAAAGAGGATATGACCTAAGATCGAGTCTTAAGGAACCCCATATACAACTGGTAAAGAATTGGAAAGATAAGTAAGTAATGTCCTTTCGAGCCAGTACGGTATTTTTACTATTTGAGATCGATGTTTTAGGTACAAGGTTATCCAATCTAGGGCGATACCAGGAATATCATAGGAAGGTAATTTTGATAGCAAGATGTTATGGTCAATTGCGTCAAAAGCTTTGGAAAGATCTAAAAATATTCCAATGGGTGCTTCTTTTTGGTCCATTGATGAAGCAACATCTTTAGGAAAAGAAAAAATGGCAGTGTCCGTAGATTTTGACTTTCTAAACCCGCGTTGTGAGTCTGCAAACGCCCCTTTTTCCCTGAGAAGAGTTTCCATTCGCGTACAGAAAAGCCTCTCTAATATTTTAGACAAACCTGACAAAAAAGAAATTGGTCGGTCATTTTGAATTTCACTTTTGGTCCCTTTTTTAAAGAGTGGCTTCATTTTTGCTGTTTTGAAAATATCTGGAAATATTCCTGTGCATAAAGAAGCATTGAAAATATGAGTTCCGGAAATTCATCCAAACCAGATGAATATTAAATTTTTAGTTTACTGACTATTCCTAAGATTTCGTCAGAAGAAGTTTCGGAAATAAAAATCGTGTCGAAAATTTTTTGGGAAGGTAATGATGTTGAATTTGACGGTTTTAGTCCCTTCGTAAGTTCAGCCATAATTTTAGAAAAGTGTTGGTTGAATAGATTTGCCACTTTTTCCGGGCTACTGTCTTCTCTTTCATTATCCTTTAAAACAACATTCTGTACTAAGTAACGAGATGATGTAGTCGTATTTTTTACGATGGATCGGATTGAAAAAGAAAGAGGGATCCTGGCAGAAATTTGTCAGAAATACCCAGTTTTAGGGATGAACCGGTGCTGTTATCAAACAATTAGTGAGAGGAAGGAAGCTTGGACAAAAATCTGCGAGGAATTCACCGCATCGAATCTGAGCAAACCTCCGCGATATTGTGGACAACTCCAAGGTACATTTTTGCCGCCAAATAGCGTATTTTGTAGTTGCTCTAGTTGTCTGAAAAAAGAAACGGGTATCATCAAAAATAAGGATTAGCTGAAAACGTGATTCTATGAATAAACATTTTAAATATATATATTGTATATTCATTAAAACCATGTCCCTACGTGCAGTTCTATTATTTTGTGAAAGTGACATTTATTTTTTGTTTGCGATGTAATTGGTTTAGGATAATGGGAATTCATTGGTTTGGTGAATAAGATTTTAAAAAATACTTGAAACAGAACCAGATAACATCCTGGAAATGTTTGAATAATTGTTGAAATTAGTGCGATTGATGATAACATCTACTACAAACTAATTTCTTTTTTAGAGGGCTATGAACTTTGTTTCTGAGTTAATACAAGATAAGGGTTATAGTTCCTATTGTGAGGGGTTTCTCTGTTAGGTTTGACAAATCTTAGCGATATTATTGTATTACAAAAGGATAGTAGTACATGTTAAAATTACATGTTCTTCAAACAGTAGTGCAGTGAAAGAGTTGCTAATCTAAATATAATAAACATAATTTATGCTTAGTTAATATCAGCAATTGACATGTGGTTATTGCTAATAAATAGTTGATTTTTACGTTTTTCTTCTACAAAATTGTTTCTTGTATTAATGTTTTTGTGTATGTCTCTGAAAGCATTTGTAAGATGGAAAAAAGGACAATTAATGATAATAATTGTGGGAATGTAAATGGTAGTCAGGAGAACAGAGGATTTAATGACAGCATATGATGCTTCCAGTTCTTCTGTCACACTTTCTACTCCTGTAACACCAAAAATGTAATGGGGTAATTGTTTATTACTAACATTTTGATATAGTGCTATTCTGAAGAGTTATTTGCTTGCAGTGCCAAAATATTTAATGCACGTGATATAGTTTTATAGGAAGTAATTAGCAGTTTTCTTGAAATCAAAGATAAAAGTCCTTGGTAAAAATTGAATTACCAAATTTTAATTTCCCTGGACTCCTTTCCTCTGAACAAGTTTTTGAAGAGGAATTATTGGTAAATCACCGCAAAAACGATAGAACTGCTAAAAATAGAAACTGAGAATAAAGAGAAAACAGCGCTGCTCAAACATACACTCCAAAAACATTATAACAGAGCAAGTTATAATAAAAACATTAATTTGTACCTTTTGTTTTTCTTAATAAATAATTATGAAAATAGGTTTGATCGATGTGAGCTTTGAGTCACGTATAAATCTCTTCCGTCCATGTGATTGAGGTTAGGTCGCATAATGTCAGCCAAATATCGTTTCTTTCATAAAGCTGCAATCCTGCAACACTCTTGTTATCGGATCGAGTGTCCTGAGCCGATGAACATTGGCTCGAAATTGTTACATAGTCTAAAGAAGTCCATTTTCTACTATTTGAGTGAATAAGCCCCGGCTTTGAACCATCCTTCGCCGAGGTCTGGAATTTTCAAGCCGCGGTTCGAAGTCGCGTCTCATCAAGCAAAATTTGAAGCCGTGGCTTGAAGAAACCACGTCTCAGACCTCGTCTTAGAAATGCACCTATTGTGTTGTTTTACTTCCTAGAAAAAAAGCCTTGTGGGCACAAAATTCAAATCTTGTTTGGGGCGCTCATGACTCTAGCTATGACTCTCCTTATCGCCGAATAATTCTGAAACGTCGCTCTATTTCTTTTTACCCTAAAATCTACTTTACAAAATATTTATTAACTTATTCTATAGTTCTAATCCTACACTTTTGTTCAGACATGGAATTTTCTCTTTAGATTAATGATTCTTGTACAGCATAATTTGGGATATGACAAAACATTTTGGTAATCATTTTATATGAACATACTGCATTGTAAGGACATATTGTCCCTTCTCTTTTCTCTCGTTTCCGTAATATTTTGGCTATTTAGGGTGGCGTATACAATTACCCTGCGCCAAAACATATGGAACCGATGAGAAAAACTTCCGGAATTTTTCTTGAGTCGGGCCTTTTTTGAGCACCAGGAGACTGGTCAACGTGGGTTGGGCAGATGTCATGGCAACTATTTTTCTTTTAAAAGAAATGTTATTGTATCGCGCAATTTCATTTATAGCGTGAAAGAAATACTGCAGTAGGGCGTGTTCATATCAACATATGTCTCTGTGAGTGTCTCTATTAGCCCAGAGAGTAACGTGAAATCAATGACCCGACTACCGCCGTGCGAGATAAATGTAACATGTTTCGAGCAGCGCCTGTACTCCAAGACAGCCGTTTTCCATGGGAGAAATGCCTGAGAATGTCACAAGGAATTGGTGGATTCTCTTGGGGATACCTTTCCATATCTGATAGTCACGACATGGGTAAGAGAGTTTCTGTGAGGACACGTATTATGAACTCGTATATGTCATGGCATTTAATGTGTATATTTCACATTTTCCACCACTGCTCGTGTTCTTAAAAAACGTTGCCATGACGTACGCCACAATCCTCCAGAGCTCTTGAGCCTTCAGTGCGTTGTCCCACATTATCCCACCTCTGGTTGTGTTCGTGGCGGCGACGGTCCACACTGGTTGGAACATCCTCAAATTATAACAGTGGATTTCTCTTTAGGCATTGTGGCCTCACCGAAAATACTCGAACATTCATCTATACTTCGGAGGCTAAAAAAAAAACAACTGATGATTGCTTTTCTCACACGAATTCTCCTTAAACGGCCCATCATTCCAGGTCGGTCAGGTCACAAAGTTTGTTCCATTCATAGTAATCGCTGCCTTTGCAATTGACAATATATCGACTTCCAGTCGATTCGTGATTTACTCTGTAGAGGGAAAATCCTCTCTCCACTGAAAAGGGGAGGTCATATGCGCCATCAGCTCTGAGATATTTTTCTAAGTATTCTGAAGGAAGTGATTCTCGTCTGCGCGACGTATGAAAAACAACTATTATCAAAATGCAATGAAAATGACCTCAAACGAAAACCTGGAAGAAATGTAACGAAAGACAAAAAACCTTAATACGACATATTATTGATCAAAATTGATCCAAATTGGCTAAAAAATGCATCTTCCACTTTTGTAGAACAAATAATCAATATAGAAAAAATGACATCATAAACATCCGAACCCGAGCTATTATTGAATAATTTCTTCTATTGCATAGTGTTTAATATAAAATTCAATGTATCGAAACGTTCCAAAAAATGCGTTCTTTTCATTCCAGTTGCAAGCCGGTTGAGGATTCCATCCCTTTGACGTCATCTGTAAGTGATGATACGAACCACAATTTCTCCTGTCTTTCTTCGAGGTATGCGAGAATTATAAATACATTGGTAACTTTAATGCTATCGCAATTAAAAATGTCGGAAAAACAGTTATACAACTTTCCGCAAAATAATATTTCATTTTACTAATATGTTAGCTTCTTGTTAATGAGTATCTATTAACTTATAAATTAATGTGGAAGAGAACTAGTGAAATTAAGTTAAAATACGTAGCGTAATATTAAAGATTTTATAGAGAAGCAACTTTAAAAGCCCTGGTTAACAAGTGCACATTTAAATTAGGGGAGGGCAAACATTTTTCTAACGTGCCACACATGACTTCCATTATAACTTTCTTTTGTAAATAATTTTTCCAATTATTTCCTGAGATATTGAGCGGGCGATCCTGCCCTTTGCTAGAGTTTTGATTGAGTTCCCCTCTACATAGGTTTTGATGTTTCATCTTCTTAAGAAAATGATGCATCATTAAGTTTACACGAATAGATACCCGGAACACTCATCATCCCATCAATAACGCTGAAATGGCCACCCAAATTAAGCGGTTACCTCCAGGAACGGCATTTTATGTAGTCAAGCAATTGATTTGCCCGTAAGTCCCGTGTGATATCCCGCTTTGAAGCGACCGCCTGCCGCGCGGCCAACGGCCAGGCTCATTTTGTAGAACTTGTGTAAAGTAGTAACCTCTAGCAATTTTGAATTGTAGTAGAATAAAAATTGGAAAAAAGATATGGGACTGATTTAGTATCGTCTTGCAATGGGATGCATTGCATTGCAAGATTGTTTCAGACATGTGACATGTACTACAGTCGTTTGTCTCGCAGGGGGATGATTGATTGATTTGAGATAACAGCAGGTAAATGTAATAAATGTGTCGTTAAGAAATAACGCGTTCGCTCCGCATTTTCAAGTTTGCTAATCTCTTCTTACCGTCTTGGGGAAGTTATCGAAAATTCGCGCTCACTGCATGAGTGAAACCGTTCTGAAAGTCTTATGGTCCAGTTTCAAAGTTGCTACAGGATGAGAATTGCATTTTCAAGCGTAAATTGCTTGTGAGTTCGGTTCAGTGAGAGTGAGTTTCTCTTATAAGTGATCGAGTAAAGGGTACTTTTGACACTAGCAAAGAGGAGGCAAATGATCCTTGATCTCCTCTTTAAATGTGGGTTGTGTTTAAAATATTTATAATGATTTTAAAGAAAACATTTTGTTTCATAACAGTTATTAGAGTTATACCAAACGTACGCTTCCTATAAATATATTTGAATCCTATAAAATATATTGATTGACCGATCACTTCTATTAAGGGCATATCACCATCTTGAAAGAAACCAGAAGTATCTTACTGCCTATGCTTCCGGATTAATTTTGCTTCAATGCTTTGCTCCGTAAAACCTGTTTCAGTAAGAACATGATACCTTGAAAAATCGCTCAATTTTGGCTGTCTTCGTCCCATATATGTTGCTCGAAATGAAATGCGGAACTTGAATATAATTTTGTTTTAAAGCAAAATTACGTATTATTTAGAAAACGTAAATATTTTGCCGTTGGCACAGAGTTTGCATTAATGTAATACATAAATGGATGCCCCGAGCCACATCAACCGGTAAAACGCAGGACTACGCGAAATGGAGCCCGCGCGACTAGTCTAGAAAGATTGCTGTAAGAAAGGGACCGCTTTGACAGGTCGAGCGTGGCCCCTTTTGGCATCATAACCGCAGGTTACGTCGCATGAGCTCATGTGTAAGTGGTTGCTCACAATGTCTTTGATTGTGAATGGAGGGTGGTCCGTCTGTTTGCGGCGGCAGCGCCACGCAGCGTGCTCGCCTGCTTGAGGCGGTGGTGGCGGAGCCCGCGCTGGCGCCTGGGCCCTGGCCCGCCCCGCCCCCCCGACGGCGAGCGCCTGCGCCTGCGCCTGCGCTGGGCGGCTCTCGCCCGCGAACTCAACGCCGCCGCCGCCGCCGACGCGCCGCCCGGCCACGCGCGCCCCGCGCACCACTGGAAGCAGGTGCGGGCCCTCCACAAGTCAAACCCTTTAGGAAGGGGCCACCTTATTATATTGGCCAATTTTCTTGGTAAGCACGACGCGTTTTCAGATTGCCAACATGGATTACGAAAATCCAAATCTTCGGAAACAGCCATATTTTCTTTTTCTTTAAAGATGTCGCCTCATACATGGATTAAAACGAAGCACATATTGGAATATTTTTAGATCTTTCAAAAGCTTTTGGCGTGATTGATCATAACATTTTACTTTGGAAATTACCATCGTATGAAATTTGTGGTATTGCTCTAGATTGGTTATGTTTGTACTGTGGCGTCTTTGGCGAGCAAGAAATCACAGACGTGAACGGTTTGTAATTTATTGAGTATTTATTTGAAGTATGCTCTAACACCTGAATTCTATTTACAATACTTACAATAAACAATATTGACCCGTTACCAGAAGGAATGTTCCTGGTCACCACCACCGCTGACCTGATAATTTGATATCTTATTCGGAGTGATGCACTACTTGCCTACGGGAGGATACAAGCGAGTATGCCGCACCTTCCGCCTCGACGTAGAACGCCAGCTTCATTGTGGGCGGCATTTTTCTGATATTCACAAAGCATGTATCAAAGTTTCATTCAAATCTCAGAATTCCCTAAAAAAAATGCTGTCCCCCAAAAAACACAGATCTTTTAGAAAAAAGCGGCGTCTATTCACTAAATTGCCACGACTGCGAAGCCAAATATATTGGTCAAAGCATGGGGGCGAACTTTTAATACCGAATTAGGAATGTAATATATGTCTTGGAAACTCGACATCTGTAAATCTCACTTTGCCAATTCATTTACTCCAGACAGGCCATACATCAATCACACACAGACATTCGTATAATGGAAATAGAAAATCACTACCACCCAGACTAACTTTAGAAAAACCCTCCATATTCATTTAAATATAACTTATGAATGAAAACATAAACCATAGTCCTTCTCCTTACTAAAATTACTATTGCACCAGTCCCACCGCTCCCCGCGGGGGGCACAGTGACAGTGCACCGCACTCCTCCAACCCACGGCCGGATACTTAAGCGCTGGTTGCCACGACCGCGTAGTCGTTTTGTGGCTTCCATCCAGAGGTAAGGAATGGTTTTATATATATATATATATATATAATATTATATATTATATAATATAATATATTAATTTATAATCGCATATAATTTTCTATTGAAATGCAACGAAACTGCACCACTATCTATATCGTCAAAGTCGGTCTACGGGGTTCACAAGTGGCCACCCACGACACGGCACCCCTTCCCTTCCGCTCCCTGGGTTTGCCATCGCTCAGCCCGGCGCCCCTTTCCGCCCGCGCTGTCCGCTGGCGCAAACTACTTCCGCGTGCAAATATTTTATCACGTTTGTACAAGGTGACTGATATGACGCCACAGTACTTTAAAGAACGATCTCAAGGAGTAGAAATAACTTACTGGAATAATGGAACATTGTGTTCACACCTTGCCAATTCTTTGCCATTTGCACGTGGAGTCCTGCAGGAATCGATTCTCTTCCTACTATACGTAAACGATATGCCCTCGACGATTAGAAACGGAAGAACAGTTGCGGGTGATGCGAATATTCTTTGCAATGAAGAAACCCTAAATAGTACAATCACAGATATTTCAAATTGGTTCCTTTATACCAAATTAATAGCAAATGAGAAGAAAACGGTTTCAATGCAGTTTTCCATTTCAAACAAACAGCTCTGTACACAATTGAAAATGAACGGAATGCCATTGACTGACGTTATGGTAACTAATCAAAGTTTTTAGGTCTTTCAAATCAGTCAAACCTTAAATGGAATGACAATTTAAATACATTGAACACTAAATTAAGTCCTTTATGTTACGCTTTCAGAGTTCTTTCAAATTCAGTCAGCCTCCATACTGCTCTTTGTGAGTATTTCGCGAATGTTCATTTCCGTCTGAGATATGGTATAATATTTTGGGGGAAATACATCTTATAGTTCCCATACTTTTAGATTACAAAAACGAATTGTACGAATAATAAGCAAATCTCACCCATGTGATTCTTATAAGCCTTTCTTTATTCATCTAGGTATTTTACCATTACCTTGTCTTTTCATATACAAATCAGTGGTTTTTGCCAAAAATGACTTAAGAATGGGAATATATTTTCAGCAAACGCCTTTGTCTATAACTAGAACACTCGACGTAGTAATCATATTCATCAGGTGACTACCAACAGCTCACTACGAAAAATTCACATACAATGCATGTACATTATTTTACATCTTGCGAGACGACGTTAAACGATTATATTCGATGCAAAAGTTTAAGTCCCAGGTAAAATCTTTTCTGCTGCACAAATGTTTCTATACAATTCGCGAGTATACCGAGCATCCAAAAGGAAAGTAACATTAATTTTAACAACATTTAATGTATTATTTACCATTTGGGTTGTATAATTCTATAGAACCTGTAACAACTATTGTACTCCATTTTGTGGGTCCATGATCCCCATCTCGATCAGGTTTTCGTCTATTTTCTCTGATCCTTGAGTGAATGCTGAGATGGCCCCTTGTTTTGCTTCTGCACATAAATGTAACTTAAAATTAACTTCTCCCAATAGCACGTCACGCACAGTTTTTAAGTGTTTTTTAGGTAAATAAATAAAAAGAAATAGAGTACTAGAGACGTGTGCTGTAATGATTCGTATTAGTCTCAGAGAAGTCACATACCGTCTTATTTGACTCTGCCACTAGTTTAAGTCGTACCCATGGGCCACGGACACTGTCGATATCACGACATGGATTCTCACATCCGACGTGCAGTAGTAGGCGTGGTGGCAGGTGTGGCGCGGGATGGTGCGCGCGCTGCTGGTGAGGCGCGCGCGGCTGGAGGGCGGGGACGCGCTCACGCCCGCCGAGCGGCGCGCCCTCGACATCGAGGACGAGCGCGCGCGCCTGCGCGCCCGCTACATCCAGGTGAGGGGGAGCTGCTACGCTCCTTTCCACTCCAATGCTTTCCCCAACTTTGTACAGCTGGGACACGCGTTAAATTCCCGACATATATGGTAGTGTAGTAAATGTATGTATAGCATGGGAAATGAACAAGCACAAGAAAGATGAAGGAAAGATCGCGCCTGGTCCGCGTCCCTTTGTTAGGGTACAGCTCGGGCATTCCTTGGGTAATGTTCGAAAAACTACTGATCGCCCGCTTGAATTGTCCTTGAGACTGCGGCTGAATCGACCTAATTATCTCAAGGCCTCGAAAATCCGCCACCGTCAGAACTTGAACTCTGGGACCTTCCGAATCGCAGAACAGACAGAGCGGTGATGCTTCCTCTGAGCATAACTCAGCGTATGAGGGCTCTGAAAAGGAACGTTACTTAACACTCACACACCAGTGCCGTGTAGGTACCCTGAGAACACGAATGGGAGTCATGTGGGAGGGGTGCCAATGGCTGACCCCATAATAATATATTGCAAAAATAATCGGAGGAAATGCTGATATATTTAGATTTTATTTTTCCATTGATAAATTAATTAATGAAGGAAGTATAAATATCCATTTAGTATTTATTGGAGTTGTTGATTCTTCGGCATAAAGCATAGATTTGAACACGGTAATTTAATGAAATATTAAATCAAAACGTATTCGATTTCAAAATAAAACAAATTATTTGTAATAACACAAAAAAGCCGCAATATTGTTTGCAAACTGTAGAGAACAATACACATTTAATAAATTCAACAACTTTCAAGAATAATACCTAGGGGTCTTCATTCTTCACCTTTCAAATAACCAAACCTTTCTTTAAGTCCAAATCGACATGTACACTTAAATATCTACTCTCTCAAATATTTTAGTCCATTTGCTTTTTCGTAATATTGTCCTCAATGAAATATACTTCTAATATCAATTGAATTTCTTACTTTCAAATTCTCCTATGAGTTTCGCCACTCCGATTGAAATGCCTTATCAGTAATTGACGGCTTATTCCAGAACGTTAATTTCGTACCTGGTTGTTGATGCCGTCCGTCTTAAGTCGACCGTCTCCATGATATCTAAAACATTGTCAACCTGTGTTGTATCCCCATGCTCACAGATATCATCTTGATGCCCAACATGAACGAAATATCACCTCGAATTTCGGATCGTTGTAGTATTTAAGAATTAACAAGTGGCCTGCAGTAGTAAGATTGCCCCGGAACAAAATCACTTAAAATGGTTTTCCGTATTACACAGTAATAAATTAGATATTTAAAAAAAAACGTCTTCACGGACACTTAAATAACTTAGTATACTGTACTGACAGTACAATACCTCTTTACGTATGAAGAAAAAATCTCTTCCATAACGCAAAACGTGAATATCAAATATTAAATGACGGACGGGCCCTTTCTTTGAGCTTTATCGCACGAGGTGTTGTAAGCACTAACGCTCTTGGAATGATAATCTTGACGGAATGCTCTGTATTAGAGAGGGGACGATTAACACAATCAAATATTCGCATTTTTAGTCAAAATAGAAACTCCTTTGTTGTTGTTTGATTTTTCCAAGTCTTTGGGGGATCTAACAAAATTATACACGCCTCTTACACAGCCAGAGTGCATAGATTTCTTTCAATATCTGAGCGCATGGGAAAGTAGAAATATAGATAAACATTAATTTAGCAATATTTTACGTACTTAATTGTAAATTTGTGTTAAAATATTTTCAGAATTTAAAGTGTGGCAATTAAATATTTTCAACTTATTCTGTATATTCCGTCGGGACACAAATGGAACTTTGTGGAAATTGTCTTGTATTTGATAAACTCGGTGAACATTGAGAGTATTGTTTAGAAAGTGCAACTGTTCTATATATCGATAGATACTGAAATAAGGCTGTTGTAAAGCTGTTTCACATACATAGAGAAACATGTGTCGAGACGTCGGGACTGACAGTCGTAATTAAAACCAAAGTGGAAGGCGTTGGGGCGATTCCGGTTTCATATTCGGATGTAGCGCTTCGACATACAGACACATGTGGCATGTCTTCGGGTCCGACTTTTGCGTGCCTGTTTTCAATGACTGTCGACGATCAGAGAATTCTTTTTAAGGCTAAATGCGCCGAAAAATACTTGTAGGAACATTCAATAGATCGCAGCACTATCACGGGGGAATTTACTTTACTGATAACGTCTGAACCAATGGTCCGATTTTCAATTTATAAATAGCATTTGACGCCTTTTTAAAATAGAATTTACGCTACGAAGCCTTTTTTCAAAAAAATCTAGCAAAAACGCGAATTTGAAATGAGTTCTGAAACTTCCGAGAACACATTTATAAATGTGGCCTTTTAGCGCAATGGCTACATGCTTCCTGAATCCAACGCCGTGACAATCATGAAAATCGGGCGAATAGGAGCGTCGTAAAGTGAAATTTGGGATAACACCTCCCCCCCCCTTCCCCTTCTGCGCCGTTGCGTCACCCACCCGATTGTTGGGCCCTCTGTCGCGCGGGGCACATCAGCAGCGGCGTCGTCAGCCGGGAGCAGCGGACTTTGCGGATACGGCAAAGCCGAGACAGTCGGTTCGGCTTTCGTCTCTTGCATCTCAGACTATTTTTTCCACAATACCAATAAGATGCTATACTACCATACTGACTGAAGGAAACGGTCGAATAGGATACATTTAATTAATATTTTCACATTATTCCGTCTTCCTTTCGAATTACATCTTAAAATTTTTGATGCATCTCAAATATGATTTCCGATTTTAACTATTGTTTTAACAAAGAACGAATTGTGATTAATATCAGCATTATTCCATATCTCACATCTTATTTAGATATATTATACTCTAAGTCTTCGTTATCACTCCACCTACTCTAAAGATCTTCCGTTGTCAAATACGTAAAAATTAGCGGAGTATACGCGACTCTTTTATCCTACAACTCATTTTGATCTCAAAACGACGTTTATCTGTTTTAAAAGTTTATCTGGTGAATCTCTTTTCCCAAGTAAAATGCCGAGCTAATTTTAAAAGTGTTTATCTACTTTCGGACAATTTTTAAAATGCATTATCTTGGCTGTCCGGTGACGTCGCGTCGAATCTGTTTTGCCCGATTTTCGACCATTTGTCTGTCTTCTCAGCTGGTATGCCCATACATAAGATGGTATGGACATGGTAAGACCAACACAAGATGCTCAAAACGTCGGCAACAATCTTCGACCCGGCCTTACCCGGACAGCCAAGATCATGCATATGACTCTGGCCGAGGAAGCCTACGACTTGAAATTTTTAAAAAGTGGTAAAATAACGGTCTGGCGAGCCGTATCCTGACTCCAACGCCGCAACAAGCATCGAAATAAGATAGTATGAATCATGACTTATGCCAGATTACTTGGTAAGTTATTTTGATATAAAAGTTTTGTTATATTTGTATAATTTTGAAGGGAATAAATAATTCCTAGTGAGTCATTTCATACAGACTACGTAAATGAATAAAGGGTAATGATGCAATTGGATTACTCCTAGATGTTTGCTTGCATTTGGAGCGTGTTTTCCCTTCCATTTTCTTTGATAAAAAGTGGATTTTCTAGAAAACGTTATCGTGACATATCGGACACAATGATATAAATAATATGAAACATTCAAACAAGTTTAAAAACGAAGAAAATATTTTTCTGTATGATTTTAGGATATTTACGACGCTTACGCGACGTAATGCAATCTACCCAACATTCCAGAGTAGATAGAAAATGAGGTTTCTTTCAATGTGAATGGTTTTTGAAAATCTTACAGTATATGCTTACAGTAACATTTTAAAATCCTTTTTGTTCTTCTTTTTCTGAGGGATGACTTTTGCCGATTGACTGAATCACACGGTATTCATGCAATTGTGTTGTTATTTGCACAATCTCGGCTGTCTTCTTTCTTTGGTAATGAAATAATTATAGTGCGTTGCAAATCTGTTCTTCACAGTTTTCTTTTCCAGACATTGCATAATTGTGTTAGTTTCGCCAAGATTTCTTCCCCTGTATCTTTGAATAGTTCGATTGGAATATTATGTACAGCCGAGGACGTCCCATTTTTCACGTTCCCATTTTTCAGTTGTTTTGTCGCCCAATTAATTTTTTCGATCTCATCTTATTCGTAATCATCTATATTTATACACTACTCTATTTGTAAGCCTTGATCATATAACTTCTTCGTATTCTTCCCATCTTTTCGTGATCTCTTCTTTTGTTGTATTTATTTTGTCGTTCTCGTCCTTAACATTCGCCATTGTTGGTTTACAGTTCGTGGTCATATTTAGTATAACTAAATAGTGAAGTGTATGTAAACGTATATAGTGCAATATAAATATTAAACAATTAGTGAAACACAAAATGAAACTGCTGGCCTCGGCCAGAGCATCCGTGAAGCAATATTAACTTACAACGGAACAACATCCGTTACAATGCAGTCAACAGATCCACTGCAGCTTACGCCAGAACAGCAGCTTCAATGGCAACACCGTCAACAAATGCAGCCACACCCCTGGTCTCAACCATCGCAGAACGGCTGCACGGCATCTTCATTAACATCCGACATTTTAGTCGTAAGTACGTCAGGGCAGCAGCCTTCATGGCACCCTCCACAAACACAACACCAGTCGTGGCTTCAAGAAAATGATATAGGTGACCATGAAATGTCAGCAACTGATAACCACGGAGAAGCACTGACAGATGGCAACTAAATGTACGCAAACGAAGACGAAGTGATAGTAGTCATTTAAATACTAACCTACCGGCATTGGCAGAAAATGTGATTCCTCTACAAAATAAATTTACCCCTCTAATGAATGAAAATCAAACTCAAAATGAAACGGCGGGGAAAGAAACAAATTTTTATATCCCACCCATATTTATACCCGGCGTTCCAAATGTCCCAAAATTGATTGACATTCTCAAGCAAAATGTAAAACAAGACTTTACATATAAAATGTATAGTAAT